GGCAAAATTATTGGGGGGGGGGGGGGGGTTCCTACGGCCATGAATTAAGTGTTGCATTTAATATTTTTTAAATACCTTTTTGAATTATTTCTTTAACGCTGCTTCCTGCTACTGTACTGTACATAGTTCTTTTTAATTTGTCATATGTCCAGAGCTTAAACCACGGCATCGTCACCTTATACGTTCTGATATGAATGACCAAACATCCGATGCCGTAATTCTTTTATAGATTTGTGTGCACAATTGCAGAAGTGAAGCCAAAGTAAGCAGTTAGTAGTTGACAGGAAGCAGCTAACAGTTGGCTGTCGTATATGGAATTCCATACGAAAGGGAATTTATTTATTTATTTAATTTATTTTTGTCAAGGAATTTTTGGTTGGAATTTTTTTTGAGTAGGATCCCCCCACCCCCCCCCCCCCCCCGGAAAAAATTCCTGGATCCGCGCCTGTGTATTAATAAAATTAGCAATAAAATAAAAATCGAAAGCAAGTTTTTTGACTTGCCTAGATGGCCGAGCGGTCTAGCGCGTTGTTCTTGTACTGCTAGGAAACAGATTCCGTAGCTCGAGTTCAACCTCGGATTGGGGCGGAAGTGGGTATCCTTTTAAAGTGAATTTCTTTGTGCTTTCTATATATATATATATATATATATACATATATTATATAGTTTGGGCTTATAGAATATTATGTATTTTAGTTCAACGTATGTACTCACTGACAACTGACAGTGAGTCAGCAATCAAATCAAAGATGTTTGCGTCTTTTGAATTGATTTGAACAGTGTAAGATGATCGAAATGTACGATATCCAATGATTTTCTTCAACAAAAAATGTGAAAATAACGAACAGTGATAAAGCTCAGAAGTCCATTTAAACAATAAATTATGAACAGAGAAAATTCGGATCTCTGAAATTAGAGGTGGGATTAGGTGCCATAATGGAGTCAGCATTCCCTGTCGACCGGTCACACCCGCCGTGTGCTCTTTGTCATGATCGCGTAAATGGAAAAATTCGTAGACATTTCTGTGTGAAAATAATGGTCTAACAATTTGTACGAAAGACATCAGTCAACATTCGACCCAACGACAGATTATACGAGATTTGCAAACAAAGGTCATTGTATCGACCATAGAAGTTGCGATATGTTGACTTTAAACGAGATTGTTGACATCTTTGTATCATCAACCAAATGTAAATAGCCTGCCTTATTTTAGAAATTGTTTGAACGTAGAGCATGCTCTTGAGAATGAATTAGGAGACAAAAACTCAGTATCAGATGATAACGGTATATAGTTTCATAAATAAGAGAAGTTGACGATAGAAAAGTTGAAAATTGTCACAAAGTTTCAATTGCTATCAATGTCATTCTCTAGTAATATACCCAAATATGAAACAGGTGTTTTTTTTATTTCGAGTTCAGTCGGATATATTGAATCAAAGTACATGTAAGAATTAAACTGAATATTGCTAAATGATGAAATACTTCTGAAAGAATAATGCATTCAAGTAGATTCCATGTACATTCTGGGGGGCGGAAAGTGGATGAGGTGTAAAATAGGCAACAATGTCAAATTATAATTATCCCCTAAAGTATTGAATTATGAAATTATACTTTCAGAAAAGTACACGTGATTCTAATGTGCATTTTTCGTCAGAAAGCATCTGTTACACTATCTGTCAATTTACATATTTTAGTTACTAGTATGTACTTATCGTACACAAAAATGAAAGCTAGGATGGCTTGTGCTCATTTCTTTATTTGTCAAAGAATTTATATATATCTTAAGATGGATTCAAAGAAATTAAATAAATTGAGGAACTTCTGCAAACTGTTATATTTCATCTTATTGTGACCTATGTGAATGTACAGTGCAAAATTTGATTTTAAATGATTTTTTTAAATAGCAAAATAGCATACTGTGACAATATTAGCTGTTGAGTTGATTTTAGGCCAAAGGAGAGGCAAAATCTAGCCCCCATCATACCCTATCCTTTATGTGAATCTATGAATAACAAAGGAGTTTACGGAAACAACACTTCAATGCGATAATTTCATGAAAAACAAAGTAGCAACAGGCAGTATTGATATTGAGGTGTACAAAAACTTAAGGAACATTTAATAAGTAAGCTGTAGCGTTATTATTTGTGAATTTTAAAAAGTTATCTATATGGCATTGATTAAAAAGGAAAAGAAACCCACGTACTTTGAATGTTTAATACCTGTATTTTTTCATTGACTCATGTATCAAATTTATCAGCATCTTTCTTCCCTTACTAATATATATGCATGTTCTTCATTCATAATCCTCTTTTATTTAAATTATATCATAAAAATCTACTTCACCACTTTTGTAGAAATATTATACCTGTATATGGATGTTGGTTAAATTCAACCGTCTAAGATACGCAACACTACAATCTGATATACATGTATTTTTTATTCAAGTGCTTAAAAATTAAAGTAATAAGAAATATGTGTGCATTTGTTCTATATAAAAAAAAACAAAAAAAAAAAAAAAACAAAAACAAAACATACGAAGCAATTCTACACAAAACGTGTTCACCATTCATCCTGCATGAAATTGATTCACTCTTAAATATAACGTCACTTGCATTAAAGAGGTTATTCTGTTGGATACATGTACATTGTAATAAAGCTATCTTAATATAGAGATAAAAATGTGTAAATAAAAACATTCAATATCTATAAACTGTACGATGTACATATTTTATATCTTTAAATGAACTTTTCACAACATAAATTTTATATGCAATAAGTCATAAAAATTCTTGAGGAAACTTGCTACAAAGAAAAAAAAATGGATGCATCGTCTGGTATACATGTATATTTTTGGACTTACTAGTATTCAGGTTACAAATGATGCAAATAAGATATTCCTAAAATATGAAGAAATTTTACATTTTCTATGATGTTCACATTTCTCACATTTTGTCGTTACCATGTCAATCTGGATACAACATTACTATCACTCTGTAGGACATTATTGATAAATATTACTATAATTATTGAAAAAAAAACTAAATATGACTAACACTTTTAATTTTACTTATATAACCATACATTTAATATCTATTTTCATGATTTTTGGGGGGAAAAAAATGCTTGTGACAGGTGCCCTTATTCTTCATCAAATTGCAACTTGTAGCAACTATGAAAGCAATGACCTCCTCAGTAAATTTCTGTTCTATAATTTTTGATAGAGTATATAGAGGATATTCAATGTTTTGTAGATGAATATGGAATTTATTTCACTCGTGAGACAGGATTTTTTGATATTTTCACTCGTGCTTCGCACTCGTGAAAATATCAAAAAATCCTGTCCCACTCGTGAAATAAATTCCATATTCATCTACAAAACATTGAATTTTCTGTTTATTACATTTTCTTTGATTTTCCCTTTGCCTCTGTCTTTTCTTAACACAGTGTCATAGGCTTGACGTCATAGTTGAGCGGTTGAGACGTCATAGTTTAGCAGTTGTGTGATTGAAAACATGACATAGCATGGATTTTTAGCAACATATTTATGAAGAAATTTGCAGTTTTAGCTCTATCAAGATGCTTAGGTACTATCTCTATCTTATGACAGGCCAGAAATTATTTTTTACTTACTTTGATATCCTTTCAAACTGTGAGAGAATATCATTTTTGGTATTCTTTCACACTGTGAGAGAATATCACTTTTATTCAATAAATAAATCACAGTATTTCACTGTTGTAAATGTAATAAATCACAGTATTTCACTGTTGAAAATGTAATAAAGTCTTATATTTAGATCTATACATGCATTAATTACACGGCATGTCCATATCTCATAATTAACATTAGAATATACAAATTTCAAAAAATAAAAGAAAGAAAAGTAATTTTTGAACCATAGCACTTAAAAGCACATGTCAATCAGTCTAAACTGACTCATTCTTATCATGCTTAACATTGAACTAAGGGTTATGTTTGATAAATCTCTGAGTATCTTATTATTGCCTAGAGTACCTGTCATTTCCTTATTGCATACATGATATGTAACAAGGATGTTCTCAAGATTTTTTTTTTCAGTTAAGACTTCGTCCTACTATTGAAATTTAAATGTGTTTCTTTAAGGAAGGTTTTGGTGATGAAATACGACAATGCGTAAATAGACAATATGATATTGTAAACAAAGTATAGATAGTTATACATGATGTATATATATCAGATGATTTGTGTTGAGGAGTATTAAGGATTCACATAAAATAAATAAACAACATTTACTGAAACAGGAGCACCGGATTAAAAAAAAAGTTTGCCATGAGGAATTGGAAATCTTTAATTCACTAAGTATCTAACATAATATCCTTCCTTTCCGCGAAATAGATGCATGGTCATGTGACACTTAATCATGAAAATAAAGTAATAAAGCATACTTGAAGTTAAAAATGAACAATCATAGCCGGATTAATAAAAAGCTCATTGGCTTTCATTCTCATTATACGTATTAATGCTGATGTTTGTAAAAGAGTCTACTGTTCAATAAAAGAAAACAAATGGCAATAAAGTATTAGAATAAAAGATGAATACATGAATTTAATATGACTAGGTTTTTCGGAAACATTGACAATTGAAAAAAATTAAAAAAGAACAAAACAACTACACTCACTCCCCCAAATATACATAAATCACTTGAATTCAAAGCTATTCTTGCACCCCCCCCCCCCCCAAGTATTCAATAGGTTAATATTTCTTATCTTATCAGTAGGAGTTGCACGTACATGTACGTAGTTATATTTATTTTGTACAAATATACAGTCACTTCATACCAGGTATATAATCGATTCCTCGAATCGCTTCTCTAGACCCCATTTTAAAAAACCCATGCTCTAATCTTATCCAAGTCAAGTGTTAAGAATTCATATGCTAAGGAAACTTGGATAAACTGTTTACCTTACACGTACGAATATCAGCGCATTTACTTGTGACCAATCGTATTACCCAACTTAAAAACAAGGAACATTTTCCTTACACGAGATATTGGATTCACTTGGATAATGGGCCCTGATAATTCTGATACTCCTCTTCTGGCATGTTTGGGTCTTGTGGAAGAGTTTGAAAATTTTGGTAATGTCCTTCATCACCACCTATGTTTTCATAAATAGTTTCTCCTGTATTAAATACCGGATTGTTTGCTCCTTCCTTCGTTTTCGCCTTACGAACTTTTGTTGGCTTGCTCTTTTTTGTACTCTGGATGTTCATTGGTAGATATTCCTCTGTCGGTTGTTGTGTACTTGGGTCCATGGCTGTGTACTCTTCTTGGGGTAGGTCTTCATTGAAGTTTGACTGTGCTGCACCTTCATAGACTTCCTGCGGAAAATCTGGCTGATTAGATCCTACTTCTTCATAAGCTTCTGTTGGCATGTTACTTTGAGAAGCTGGGGGATTCACCTCTTCATACTCTTCTGTCGGAGCCCCCACTGGTGCATGTAACTCTGTTTTCCCATTATGCGTATCATCTTTACCCTTTTTAGATTTCAACTTTTGGGATAACTTATTGAATGGGCCCTTCTTTTTCTTGTGAAACTGGGACTGTTGTGTTTGTAAATTTATAGTTGCTTGATTTTCATACACCTCCTGGGGTTCTTCGTCGTGATCGATTTTCTTCTGAGTTTTTTTCTACAAAACACAAGAAAGCATCAGAAATGTTGCCTTTCTCTAAAAAAGATAAAAACATGCCCTGATACCTAATACAAGCAAACCTCTGCAATACATGTATCTATGGACTTACGTTCTTTTCTGTTGGGTCTTTGATATAACGACCTTTCTTGTCTTGCTCCTGTTGAGCTCCAATGGCAATCCTTCTATGGTCTATAGTGGCTGTATTTTCGTAAGGTCTAGGGTGTCTGTCAATGCCCCTCAATTCCTCGATGCTAGGAAGCTGACCTTCAGAAGGATCTTTCTTTTTTTTCTTGAACTTATCCTAAAAATAAAAGAAATAGTCTTTAATACCAGAATGTACTTTGGAATTGTGTTCAATGCATGCACAGAGTGGTTACATCTAATCTAAAAATGTAATTTTTTTTTACATGTAACAACTGGCTGATTGGACGTTTTGTTCTTTCACCACTCTCTTGATCGTTTGACTGACTGTGACCTTCCGATTTTCTTCGAAGACAGCAGCAAACGACAACAACAAGAACGACCACTACTGCCACGCCGCCAACAACACAGCCAACAATGATAGGAATAACATCGCCATCGTCTTGTGTAATAGGTGTGGATTCCTTCTCGCAGATGGTCACGTTACCTGCTAATTTCTGCCGAGTTCCTCTGGGACAACAGTGCTCGGTACTGTTCATACCATATTTGCATTCTAAGCACTTAACAGAGCCACCTTCAAATGTACAATTTTTACACAGGTCATCACATTTTTGGCAGTTCTGATCTTGTTCATAAAATCCCAATGGGCATTGTAAAACACAGATAGTGAATGTTTGTTCCTCCTCCGCCTCTGAAGTCGAGGACTCTGTGAGAGTTGTCTCCTCGAAAGTTACAGTATTTGTTGTGGTACCTGTGGACGTACTGACACCTGACAGGGTCGTGGTACGAATCAGGCATTGTACTCCGTCTGTGTTAATGAGGGTTTTAAAATCCGAATTTACAGAGGAACAGTTGGAATATTCTGATGAACATAAACAACATCCTGTATCGTTAGAGTTTGCAGAGCAGCAAGCATATGGATCCTCGGCGAGGGTAGAGTCCTACAATAGCAAGAGATATACATGTACTAGTAGTTTACACAGGACAAGTCCGAAACCCCATGGAACAAGGAGATATAGTAATTGTTATTATACTGGGAAAATATTTTGTTTATTTATAATATGTCTAAAAATTAAAACAATCAGCTTAAAAAGCCAAAAACAAAAAGATGATACATATTTTCTACAAAGCATGATATTGTTTAACCCCCGAATTCTTCTAAATCCTTTTGTTTGTGTCGTAGCTGTTTTATAATATCTTTTAACCTTTTTGGCTAATGATAAGCTTACATGTATTTGGCATAATATGCATCAAAAGAAGTGTCACATACTGTCATAACTCGTAAATGCCTTCGATCTTTGTTTTAAGATCATCAAAACTTTTTTGCATTCCAACTAGGCGATATTTGTCAGATGTGGAAGCATACAGTGTAGGATTTGGTAATACTACATATGGACCTTGTGTGTGTTTCGTAGGGGTAAAGGAGATGGGCGAACAAGGAGTCCAAAATGCCCATAGCTTCAAACGTATAAAAATCATATTTAATTTGTGAATTTGGTGTTTAGAGTAAATTTCTTATTATTGAGATTTGAGAGGTATGAAATTATGACAACCAAAACTTTTCTCAAGAAAATTCTCTTGGCAAAAATTATTCTATGATATAAAAAAAACGTGCCATTATTGGGGTTCGAAGCCAAGCAATAAAAACCCCGGATATATCATTTAAACAACAAAATGCTTTCTTTGGTTGTTAGTACGGGAATTGATGTTGCAGCTGTTGCAGAAGAAATGCATAACCCACGTAAGTGTGTTATATATGTAATTTTTTTCTGCAATATCTGGAACGTTATTTTATTGTTTATACTTATATCTGTGCAAATAATCATTTAAAGTAGATTTAGTAGATGAAATATATGTACGTCATTGTACGTTTCATTGTTAGGACAGTCATTGCACCAGAAATCTGTAGAGTTGATATGCTTAGTGGTGTTTAGGTACTGATAAATGGCAATGTTTTTCTTAAGAAATTAAGGATATGATATTTAGTGGATATAAATATTCTTTCTTAAACACGCTAACCACTATGCTACACAACTCATGAGGCATTTACTAGTAAATCAAGTTTGTGATATGACCCTTGACTAAATGGACTTAAATATTTCTCGGAAAGATACAAATGTTGTGACATAAAAGTGTATCTTTAAGGTATAATGGGCCTTTACGCTATGTGTTTGTTAATCAAAAAATGTATATTTTTACATATTTTTACCCAGAATAAAGATATTTTGTAATTTCAACATTTTTGTCCTAAGATATTTATACAAGCTTTAATCTTTAGCTCAGTGGCAAATACTTTGATTTCATTCGGTTAATTTTGAGTTATTAAAAAAGTAATAACTTCAAATAGCATATGAAAGACAAACAGCAAAACGGACAACAGTGGCATGGCAAACAACATACTAGTATTAGCAAGACTGATAACAGTGGAAAGACGGACAACTAGACGGACAACAGTAATAAGAGAGACAACGACGGCGTACAGTCCAACAACATTAAAAATGGAATGCATTTACATGCATTGAAAAAAAATTGTATGATCTGTGATTACAGAAAAAATATCAGTATGTATAGGATCTGTTTAATATGTCTATACATGCTATTTTATTATTAAGATGAATAAAAAATATCGGATATCAAATATTGCTGAAAGTGTATAGAAGTTAACTCCAGTCCTAATGGATTGTGTTTATCGAATTTATGACATCGTATGACATGAGATAATGTGTTTATCTAGTCGTAACAGGTAGACGAAGACAAACAATAAATTGACATTTTTTTACTGATAAGTTCTAAGCAATTTATCTATGTATTATTTAGGGGATTTTTTTTTAAATAAATGTGCTTAAGGTAGGAGAGAATGCATTCGTGCTAAAAAGAAAGAGGAAATTTTGCTTTGTCTTGTTGTTGGTAGGTTTTTTGCTAAAGAGTTTAATTTGGGTTTTATTGTGTAGGGGGCAGCTCTGAATGGAAAAGAATAGCTATAATTTATTATTTGGTATATTCAGTTATGTCAAGAAATATATATGCAAAGGTGTACCAGAAATGGAGAAAAATAAGACCAAATACAAGTCTACGTTCAATCCGATCTCCTAGCTGCTCGCCAATGTACCTGTCGATGATTATTCTATCCATCATGCTTGTCGGCTGTGGCCCTTGAGCCACTGTTGCGGAAAACCCCATTGTACAAACTTAAAAGTAATTGTTTAGTAATGAAAAATGCGTTGGACATGATAGAAAGTATACTGGTTTTCGTCTCCGACCTCACTGGAATAACCCATTCAAGAAATTCCTAGTAGATTCCGGAAAACTTAAATTAAAGTCATCCTGTACAGAATTTATATATATAAATATGTTGTGTCATCGGTCTTCCTGGATTATCATTTAAGGCAAACTTAACATAAGAAAAACAGCACATGCAGCTACTTAGTACAGGGGAGCGGGGAAGGAAGTTTGGAGTGAAATAACATACTACGTATCATCTGTATCGTTCAACTTTATAAACTTATTCATTGTACTTGTATTGTAAGTATATTCCCCATGCAAGCATTATCAAGTAACTAAATCTAACCTAAACTACCACAAATTTCGAAGATGAGATTTCTTTACATATATCAATAAACATTTCAAAATATGCACTTTTAACTAATTCAATAAAACCTCAAACGTTTAAAACATGCTGCATGACTTTGAATCGTGTTAAGTATTTTGCACGTAGATTTTACTCTACAAATTAGACCCACTGTAAATATAATATGTTTGAAAAGATTATCCAAGCATCACTTTACATAAACTTTGAAAACTTAAAAGTACGAGCTTATTAACGGCAGTATTATATTACATCTTATCCAGGATGCCAATTGGACTATTCCGAGGGTCTCTTCGAGTGGGTTGTTCTAATGATATGTCTCAAAGGACAAACAAACGTGATGAAGAAATCTTGGTCCATTGTGTAACTGAACAAAGAAATGTGGCTTCAGTCCCATCGTGGCAGAATAAATGAAATTTACTTACCTGTGCACATTGGTACATGTACGTGTATAGTAAACTTGATTCGATGTTTTAGACAGAATAAACAAAACTCATATACATGTACATGTATTAATTTGATGAACATTCTCATGGTCAAAGAAACAAAAATGTTAATTTGACAAGGAAGTCAATTGGAATTTTATTTCATCATCAAGGTATAGGTCAATACACAGATGCTGAAGTGGGTCGAATTAACAGAGTGTGTCGTATAAATCCAATGCTTTCCATTTTTGTACTATATTTTTTTTAATGGGACAACGGAATTTTGCAAGCTTTCGACATCTTTACTATAACTCAATTTCATCTCATCTTGAACAAAATATTTTTTTAAACAATGGTGTTGGCTGTGACGAAACATTTGGGCTTGTGGCTTAATTCTGTGTGTGACATTAATATTATATATGAATAGATCATAGATAAAAAAATCCATCTATAAATTTTTTAATAGGTCAGAAAATCTGAGGATTAAAATGTGACTATATGGGTGAGAATTTTATTTTCTTGCCAAAGACGGCAGGGCGTTTTTCTAGTCGCACCTCATACCCAAATATAGTATCATCTTTCGTACATATACACGAAGACAGTTATGGTGAGGTACATGTATTATACCCCCCTCCCCCAACAAGCAACTGTTTATTCATTTAATTAAATGTACGCATGAAAAGATTTCAACGTAAATATTTGTAATTTAATGGCGGGTTTAGATGGGGATATGCCCCCCCTCCTCCGCGTTATCATTTTCAAACCTATAAAAAAGGTACATGACGTTACATTGGCAGAGGTTCTTCCCCAGGTACATGACGTTACATTGGCAGAGATTCTTCCCCAGCTTACCATAGAGTGTCAACTAGTAAATCCTTGTCATCATCAATGAAAACAAAACAGATATACTAAGTATATTTTTCTTTAAAATGTTATGAACACCTATAGAAGCTTCAAAAAAGTTGTGCCTGGTTGAGGTTGAAGGTCAAACAGTCTATAAGACTCCCTTGCCCGGCAAAATTTTGAATTCACTTCACTTATCTTGTGCTATTTTGTTTAAAATGATATGATAAGTCGTTTTCCTGAGAGTGAAGTCGTTAATAACCCAAACTCAACCCACTACATGTATCAAAAATACTGAATACAACCCAGTGACGCTCCATTTAAACTATCATTACATGTACTTGTGTATGTATATAGTTCATATTTACTGACTGATTTCTTAACACCGATTTGCATGTATTCTAACAAATTCTTAAACAGACACCTGTTGACTCGGAGGAAACAACGTAATATTTTATAAATAGCCCGTAATGTCCTACCTGTATTACAATCACAACCGTTATAATCACTAAATGGATAAAATTCCTCATCGTTTCCTTGATATTCGGCTATTATTTTCTGTTTCAATCAGCTGCCGGGCTGGTGACAATATCACGTCGTTATCCTTTTCATCTCATAAGAACAACTACCTGCATTTAATGGTTAAGAAACCAGGAAGTAGAAAAACACACACTCCAGCTTTTGACCAAAGATTATTTTTGTTTGTGGGGCCCAACCACAGGGAGATTTATCTGGGTCTCTTTAAATGTCACGTATGTTATCAAGATTTTCTTTAAGTATATATAAACTCTACATAAAAGCCGAGTGGAAAAGCTTGTCTTTTTGTTAAGGTTAAACGTGGCTCAAGTGTCTGACTTCTCAACCTTAATTTGCTTGAACAAACCATTACCTACATCAGATATATCTAACCAAAGGGTAAAACGCCTGAATTGGAAGTATGCTTTGTCTGTATTTGACACCTAGATCTTCTTTCTTTTCTTGGTTACTTTGAACTAAAAATTCTGCACGTACAGCGAAATCATTGTTCCATATTGTACAGTGTCTAGGGTGAAGTTTAAGTGCGTGTATGAAAGAGTGTGATTATGTGTGTGAAAGTGATTTGCTACAGCATATTTGATTAAACTAGATGGTGTTCCTTATGATCATTCAAATATACGCTAAAACAAGTCAAATTGAAATTAAGTTAAAAAATCATAAGACTTGATCACTGACAGGTGATTGACAGGAACCCTAGGGTTTTTTTTCCTGTACATTTTTTTTTTTCGGGTGGATTTTCCTTTCTATGGAAATGAACTCCCTTAATTCCTTTTAGAAAAAAAAAATCTTGGTTCCATCCCTCTAGATGAAATACATGTACACTTTTTTCCTTTTCTTTTATGACAGGAAGTATCACAATTAGTTAAAATACTTTAATTAATTCATGAAATTTTGTACAGGGAAAGTTTACCAGAGTACTTGAAGTACCCCCTTATACTCGTTTCCTTTATGTCTGCACATGATTTTGAGAAACCGTTGACTAATGACGAATGATGGAGATGATAGATATAAGTATCTTAATTCTTTCTTGTACGTATTCGCAGATGAAGTGGTTTTAGAATGTCTGAGTCAGTGTAGTGGCTTAACGATCCTTTAATTGTGCACATTTGTCTTAGTTATTTTGAACAGGCTTGGTGAATACAGTCAGAGATAACTCCGAATCCTGTGTGCACTCCACCAAGTTAGAGAACTTACCGTCCTTTTAAAATTGGATTCCTTTGGATTTAATATTCACTCATTCTACTCTGGTGCTTGGGGAAACGATCCCATCCAATACTATATACCTACAAGATCGTTTATTTTTTATGCCCCCGTATCGAAGATTCGGGGTATATAGTTTTTGCCCTGTCCGTCCGTCTGTTTGTTTGTCCGCAAAAACTTTAACCTTGCCCATAACTTTTGATTGGTTGGAGCTATGGCTTTCACATTTCACATGTGTATTCCTTGTGACAAGACCTTTCTTTGGGTACCACCATATTTGACCTTTTGACCTTGGAGTTTGACCCAGTTTTGCAAAATTTTACCAAACTTTAACCTTGGCCATAACTTTTGAACGGTTAGTGCTAGGGCTTTCATATTTCACATGTGTGATCCTTGTGACAAGACCTTCCTTTGGATACCAACAACTTTGACCCTTTGACCTTGACCTAGGAGTTTGACCTACTTTTGAAAAACTTTAACCTTGGCCATAACTTTTGAACGGTTGGTGTTAGGGCTTTCATATTTCACATGTGTAATCCTTGTGACAAGACCTTCTTTTAAATACCAACAACTTTGACACTTTGACCTTGGAGTTTGACCTACTTTTTGAAAACTTTAACATTGATCATAACTTTTGAATGATTGGTGCTTTGGCTTTCATATTTCACCTGTGTATTTCTTGGGAGAAGGCTTTTCCTTGGGCACCATTAATTTTGACCATTTGACCTTGACCTTGATGTTTGACATACTTTTGAAAAAACGTTAACCTTTTCCATATCTATTTAATGGTTGCTGCTGGGGCTTTCATATTTCACAGGTATATTCCTCCAGACAAAACCTTACTTTGGATACCAACATATTTGATTTGCATTTGAGAAAGTTTAACCTTTGATATAAATTGCCATACGGGGGCATCAGTGTTTCACAAACACATCTTGTTCTTAAAAAAAAAAACGAAAACCAAAAAAAAAAAAAAAAAAAAAAAAAAACCATTGAAAGTGGGGGTAGGGGCTAATTGAAAGTGGGGGGCTACCAACAAAAAAAGGTAAGCCCAATTTTCAATGCCTATATTATGTCTATCTTTGCAAAAAAGTTGGGGGCTAAGCCCCCCCCCCCCCCCCCCCCGGTTCCGAAGCCCATACATTCATTCTTTTAAAATCTTCTCTGCTCCTGGATATTAAGCAGAGAAACTTAAGTGCATGGTAATGATGGCCAAGAGTGTCTCTTCCAAATTAAAATTGTGATATTAATTTATGACGTTAGGTCTACCTTTTGAATATATCAGTAAAAACTTCTAGTGAAAAATCGTTTACAATATTTTCAGACTCGCTCTCATGCTTAGAGTACATATGAACACAGATCACCCTTACATTTTGGATATATTAACTAAGTTCTATCATCTGACTCAACAAGGTAAAGAAGTCGAATTTTGTTAGATTCCGAGTCATATTGGTATTCCGGGTAATAACAATGCCGATAGTTCTGCAAATACTGCTCTTCAATATGATATTGTTTCTTTTCGAATTCCTTACACCGATCTAAAGTATTTAGTAAAACTTTATGTAAATTCTCTCTGGCAGATAATTTGGGATTTTTGTGATCATAATAAATTGTATGCAATACAACACAAAGTTAATCAATCATCTGATTTCGGCCTGAAACGTCAGGACGAAGTCATTATTTCAAGAATACGAATTCGACATTCAAGATTTACTCATTCATATCTTCTAGACAAAGAACGTCAACCTGAATGTCTATCTTGCGATTGTGCAATAACTATACACCATATTCTTTTGGAATGTTCTGATTTTTCGCCTATATAATTAGTAATTTGTTATAACAAATTAGTAATTTGTTACAACAGATTAGTAATTTGTTATAACAAAAAAATAATTTGTAAACAAATTAATAAAAAATACTGCTGCGGCCCTAATACGCTTCCGTAAATGTATGATAAAGCACTCCAATAGTTTTTTATGGTCAGGTAGGCCTAGACTAAATTGTCAATAATTGATAAAATTCAAATGAGACAAAAATACCTTTTATGTTAATTCAAAGAGCAAGAGAGGTCGGTGCTGTGTTCACTATATACATTAGTGTTATCAACGAAGTATCCATTTCCTATAATTAATAAAATTGCCGACTTTGTTCTTTCAGAGTTACCTACCGTAGAAATGACGTCACCCTACACCCCATATTGTTTACAAATGGCGACCGCTTGACAGGTGCGAGCAACTAAAGGTAAATAGAATATTTCGAATAAGCACTTACAGAACACTTTTCATAACTTGTAAATATTGTTTTCTTTTTTTTCATGTTTATATAAAGGACAATAAAAGTCATTTGGAATATGATAAAATAATTAAGCTGCATATTTTTGCTTTCATGTAGTCAAGTTCCCAATATGGCAGAAAAACCCAAGTTACCCCACAAAAAAGGTATTTATGCAAAAGTTTCATACTTTTATTTTGCACTTTGATGATACCTAGCATTGCAAAATTCCAGACTAATCTAAATTTACATCCACAGTAACACACAAAAGTCGTAGTTGATTTCATTTTGTTTTTTTGTTATATATTTTTGTGTATTCAAAATTTTATAGGAAAGAAAGTAAGAACAAAAATTCCCACAGAGGAGGAAGAAAATAGAGAAACAGTGATAACAGAAGATAACAAATCAGACTCAAAGACAGGTATATACATGTGTATCGTTTATGATAAATTAATTATATCTTAATTTAATTTAAAAGATGAAGTCTTAAGTATTTCATGATACTGTAGCCAGACATTGAATATTTTTCTCTTTTCAATTAGCTTTGTTTTGTTTTTGTTTTCATGTGCACTTGAAAAATTGTAAAAAGATGGAATACCTATTAGATGTTACATTTTACATTTTCACCAATTATTAGATTTCTCCATGTAATTAAATATAAATCTGATAATAGGATTGGATTCATACTAAGTATGATTTGTTTTGATGATGCATACTTTTTTCCTTCACCTTAGATGTTATGAAGGATGAGCAAAATGGAGAGGTATCAACAAAAACATCTACAGTACAGGTACTATTATTCATATAATGTAATTAATTAGAACTGGTTAATCATTTACATGTAATTTTACATTTCATCAAACTTGACCTTTAAGTAATCATATCAGTATTTGTAATCAATCCTGGTACAATATGATGGACATTGAAGTAGAAAATTTTTTGTTTGAATGGATCATTTGGGTCTTTCTTATCGAATGTCAGTTGTTACATAATATTATTAATGACACACCCATTTCTTTAGAATTGAGAAACCAATATTCGTCGCAGTGTTTTAAGATGTACACCCCACTCTCTGAGATTAGCAATGTCAGTTTTGCTGAAATGGGGATTTTAGGAAGTTGGGGGAGAGAGTGAGAGACTCGATCCCTGTTTCTGTAAAACTCAAGTACATATATTGCAACAAATATATACATTATTACATATAAGTATTTGTCATGTTTATTGAAGTTATAACAACATGGGTATTGATTGAACACATGTTTACCCAGTGTTTAATATGTAGACTGCCAGTCTGATTGGCTGTTGTATTTATATGAAGCATGTGAGAAAATTTACAACAATTGAGGGCTCTTTCTCTCTCAGTACAGACTGACATTTTCCCATCCACTCTCCCTACAATATACCATTTTCTCCTTTCTGAAGAAATGGGCTTTTCATTATGTAACAACCAACATTCAAAAGAAAGCTCAAAACATTTCATTCAAAAGGAAAATTTTACCATTTCAATGCACATCATTGTTAGATGTACTAGATTAGACAGACTAGGTACTATTTTGTTGTAGTCTACTTTGTGTTATTTATAGTTAGGATAAATTTGCAATCATAAAAGTTGTCTAAGAACAATATATGTCTGTATGATATGAAGAAATAACTAAGGTGTTCACTGTTTCTTTTCAGACCTCAGTAAAAACTAAGGAAACTATGGAGTTCATGACACTTGATACCACAGAAGAAGAGGAGGAAATTCAGTATGGTAAGCACAAGGAGATCATAAATGTGACTTAATACATGTACATCAGTTATTAATGCAGTCAACACAAGAAGTCAGAGGAGGTGAACACCCCTTTAAAAGATAAACAAACAGGCAGACAAAAAGCAAACACTTACGCCCCCCCCCCCCCCTTTCCCCCAAATTAAAAAAAAACATTGTAGTGTAAAAGTGAAAGCAGAAGAAATGTTTAATTGTTGAGTAAGATATTTTACTCAATTGCTAATGAAAGTGCAGTTTTTGTAAACAACTGGATTTTAAAAATTCACCAGCTAATGCATAGTTTCTTCCTATAGTTAATTAATTTTTGCTTCTAGTTTCATTTTTCAAATCAATCTGTATGACAATTTTTGCACATTAATACAATGTCATATTTTTCTGTTTTTTGTTGGGATTGTATTTGATTTGAATTTTAGTTTTGTGTTAGGTTTTATCTGCTATTCATTACACAGTTAGTTTGGGACCTAATATGGAGTCATCCAGAGTGTAAAATGGTGAGGCAGAACTGAGTCTTATGCCTGATATTTAATCCACCCCTGGTGTATAAAAAAAATTCAGGTTGTAATGTGATCTGTGATTAGCCAATAATTATTCTACAAATGTATCTGTAGCAGGATAATATTACGTATGTGGACACATAGTGGGGTAGTATGTAAATACTTTTATAATAGGTCGTTGGGACTGCAAAATTACTTTGACTTATCCATAGTACTCAAGATATTGGTGTTCGAGATAATGAAGTTTAACTGTATATGGAATTTGATAGCGGGTCAGTAGATCACACGGAGGGGCATGATATTGTTTTAAAGTACATGCATAATCTTGACCAATGAAATTTCAAGATTTTTATTGGAGGCAGGATTAATATATATCTTGGTCTATAAAAAAATTAGATTAATCCTAATGTCAATGGATTAATTCTGAAGTATTTTTATTGTACAATGATTTAAACAATACAGATATACATGTATGAATTTTCAGATGATGCAGAGCAATCCATAGGTTGTATGTTTTGTATTTACTTAGATTTAAAACAATGAAAAAAATACTTATAAAATGGTTGAAAATACTTGAGAAATGGTTGCACAGCATTTGCAGCTACAGTTTACACACTTTGAATTTGAGATTTATAATTCACTATTGCAAAAAGAGAATCTTTTTCTAGTTTATTTTGCAGTGCACTGAAGTGCTGCACAATATTTTTCCTTTTCAAATGTGTGATTTGAATGTAAGCAGTGGAGTGATTTCTTTATCTGGATATAGAAATTTGTAATAAATCTGTGTACTGAGTGTAGAGCTTTGATGTGCTAATAAGGGAGGTCACTCTTGCTTTTCTTCAGTACCTCCACCCAGAGATGATACACTTCCTGACTTGTATCGCCTCATAGACAGTCTAGAGGAGGGGGAGACAGACCTTGTCACCAAGAGGGATCCCCCAGCTCTATTCACCAGGGAAGAACACGTTCCCAAATATGAGAAGATCTCAGGTAAATATGTTAGTATGAATAAAAATTTTCCTTGATTTTCTTTTGCAATGATATCTTATGATTAATGATGAAAAAAAAATGTGATATCCATCATACTGTGATAGAAGAGGTACATTTTGAGGTACATTTTGGATGTTTCTCAGACATGAAATTTTTTAATACAAAATATGAATATTATGATATGAATTGTTCATGCTAGAATTAAAGCTCGCAATGGAGAAGGAAGAGTATCCAGCCTATCTGAATGACTTTGAAGAAGGAGTTAAGGATGATGTGGTCATGCTTGGTCAAATCTCTCTGGAGGAGGTTCAAGAGGAGGAAAAGAGACTTCGAGATGAGCACATTCAGTAAGTTATCTCTAACACTACAACTATAAGTCTACATGTTAACATGTACAGTAAATTATCTGTGACACTACAAGTTAACATGTACAGTAAGCTATCTCTGACACTACAAGTTAACATGTACAGTAAATTATCTGTGACACTGCAAGTTAACATGTACAGTAAGTTATCTCTGACACAACAAGTTAACATGTACAGTAAGTTATCTGTGACACAACAAGTTAACATGTACAGTAAGCTATCTCTGACACAACAAGTTAATATGTACAGTAAGTTATCTCTGACACAACAAGTTAACATGTACAGTAAGCTATCTCTGACACAACAAGTTAACATGTACAGTAAGTTATCTCTGACACAACAAGTTAACATGTACAGTAAGCTATCTCTGACACAACAAGTTAACATGTACAGTAAGTTATCTGTGACACAACAAGTTAACATAAGTTATCTCTGACACAACAAGTTAACATGTACAGTAAGTTATCTCTGACACAACAAGTTAACATGTACAGTAAGTTATCTCTGACACAACAAGTTAACATGTACAGTAAGTTATCTGTGACACAACAAGTTAACATGTACAGTAAGCTATCTCTGACACTACAAGTTAACATGTACAGTAAATTATCTGTGACACAAGTTAACATGTACAGTAAGCTATCTCTGACACAACAAGTTAACATGTACAGTAAGTTATCTGTGACACAACAAGTTAACATAAGTTATCTCTGACACAACAAGTTAACATGTACAGTAAGTTATCTCTGACACAACAAGTTAACATGTACAGTAAGCTATCTCTGACACAACAAGTTAACATGTACAGTAAGTTATCTGTGACACAAGTTAACATATACAGTAAGTCAACTCACTTTAAGAAGTTCACAAACAGTAAATTATCTCACTATAAGCTAGCACATACAGTAAGTTATCTCATTATGAGATTCAAATACAGTAAGTCATTTCACTGTTCTGATTCATATACTATAAGTTATCTTATTATGAGATTCACATTCACATGAGATTCATATGACATAGCACATAGTAAGTCATGTCACTCCGACTGGCTAAATGCCAAGCCTAAGAAGCTGAGAAATATGACTGACTTTGTCTTACTTTGTCTAGATACTTAGATCAGGAAGCTGAAAGAAAGAGAAAACTTCAGGAAGAGATTCTCAGACGCGAGGAGGAAGCCAAACAAAGGATGGCTAAAGTGACTAAGGACAGCAGGACAGACATAGCCAAGAGAGAGGTTAGCAAAACACTCCATTATGTTTTCTTGTAGTACCAGATGATATTGATATGAAATTTTCATAAACTTCCTAGAGCAGTAAGTTTCTCAAAGGTAAATCAAAATATTATGGTTTTCTCCCACACACATCTTTTTTTTAGGAGATCTTGAGACAGAGAGAGAAACTGCTAATGGACCGTCTCCATCGAGCCTACAGACGAGCTGAGAGTCAGCTGATCAGCGTCCTGGAGAGGAGGAAGGGGGAGGTCCAGACATTTTATGGGGACCTGATGTTGGCTGATGGGGTGTATGGAGGAAGTCAGAGCCGGAGATGGAAGGTCGACTGGAACAAAACACCACAACCAATCCAGATCAAGCTTATGTGTCTGAGAGGGGTCAGGGACAAACTTCCAGGTCATAATCAACCGATGGATTAGTGGTTATTTTAAATATAAAAACATGAAGAAGATTTAAATTATTGAAAAGAATCTTTTTAATTTTAGCAATTTTAACAAGTTGTTACTCTACCTGTTTGAAACAATGATGGAAGGCAAACTAGAAGTTGAATAGAAGCAAGACATGTTGCTGATAACGTTTTTCATGGAGGGTTCTTGGTAATCACATAGAAGGAATTTGGAACAAAGGAATGAATTTAATTTCATTGTTTTCTTATTAATACAGGGGGAAGATATGTCATGATGGTGTCCCTGTACAATCGTCTTGGAGGCCACAACATGAGGTGGTCAAAGTTGAAAGGTCAAACTTGGGGTGCAGCAACATTGCCTGTAAACCATGATGGCAGATATTACAATGTGGAAATGAAAGTCAGTTTTCTTTAAACTATTCTTAGAAAAAAATTTGCAAATTCATTATCTAATTTACTTACAACTTCTAATAAATGTAAAAAAAAATACTTGTAGTAAAAATGAACATAAACCATATTTTCATCATAAGTTCAACAGAAGAAATATTGAATGCACTGGATAATTTAGACATGGTAAAAAGATTTATAATTGTCTTGATAGATGGACCAGAGTGTGTTTACTGTTCTACCAGCCAAAGCCTCTCTGAGACCCGGAATGATCCTGATGTTTGAGTTGTTTCTGCTGAGAGGTGCTGTCGTGGCGACTGACCGTGTGGTGGGCTGGGGCTGTTTCCCTATCTGTGATGGACAGTTTGATATCATTGAGGGAAAGTACGTACCTTCAACACTAGGGATGGGTATTGCCTAGAATTCTGTATCGTGAAACATCACAATTTTTTCCCAGCTAGAATATCATGATAGTATTGTGATATTTTTACACACAATTTTTACAACAAATTCCATTGAGTTTCCATATATCCTACAAAGATGCTATAAAAACATAGCTTCACTTTTTCAATTTTTATTTTTATAATATAAAGCATGTTTGGATGCCATTGTTTAACTTTTTTCAACATTCTTTACACTTCCTGTAATTGTTATTTAATAGTTTGAACAAATAAATGAATAATTTCTGGAATTTATAATTATGTACCAGATACCGGTATTTTAGTCTCTGTATCACGATGTGTATTACACAATAAAAAAAATCACGATATACCGGTATACCAATAAGATCCCTATTCAACACATTAACTTATGTATGGCACTAAAGAATATTTTCTTCATCAAATTGTTATCCTTGGTACAAGCATTACTTTGTTAGATATTCAATTAAAATACTGATGAATGATTTTTGAATCCATGCTTCAATTTTGTATGATAGTAAAACAGGCTTATAATGAAGTGCCAGGGACAAACAATTTTGATTTGTTATAAACATAATTTGTTATAATCTGTTAAGTTTATGATATCTTTTAAAACCATGCAGAATGAAAATCACTTTGCTTTAACTCAGCTAGCCTGAATTCATTACAAGTGTTCGCTGTAAGCATGTTTTACAATGTATGATTCATTTCTCTGGGACATTGAATATCTGCCATTATCCTTCACAGATACAAGTGTCCATTCCTGCGAGGTGAATTAGACCATGTTCTGGACAAACATGAGAAGATTGAGGAACTGATGGCCTCAGACATGGACCACTGGCTCTGTAACATGTACTTTGAGATCATTAAACTTCCAAGGTGAGTGTAGATGTATGTTTTAAATGTTTAAAGAAAACTGGTAAACTTTCCTGTTATGCTCTAAATGAGTCAAATAGGAATTTTACTGTATATATTACTTAAATTTGACTCATTCAAAGGATGACTTCTGAATTACATTTGGAGTGTTTGGATAAATTGTCAAGCAAGTTAACAAAACTGTGGTTTCATTAATTTTCATGGGGATTAGATTGCATGGTTGTTTCAAAAATTCCATTTATGTCGATGTTCCTTTTCTGTCTTTAGTAAAGTGTGTAGTTTGTTGTTCATCTAATTTCATGGTCTGGCTCAACCACAAAGACATCGAATATGTCTAAGGAAAGCTTATAATACTTATTTTTGTTTACATTACCAGACACCTGGCAGGCCAGAAAGAGTACGAAGTGGAGCTGGAATTCTCATCCTCCATTACTGGTTTTCCCAGTCGTGTCAATCAAGGGGAGGAGTGTCGTGATGGAGAGGAACCCATCCCAGGGTCAATGTCATCTATCAGCTCTGACCCCAGGTATAACCTTCAAACTTTGACCTACAAATTTTACATACATTATTGATTGATCAGCTGGAAAACGTGTCCTGAGAACCAGTACAGGGAACAAGATATGATTGGTATAATGTTGATGTTTGATTTTTATCAGCTTTTGTTTAACTTGTTAAGAATCAATATTGGTTTATTTATAGTACCTCTCGTGTCAGTCTGACCAGTCCAACAGGGACAGATTTTGATGGCAACAAGTCAGATGCCACAGCAACCAAAATCAAGCTTAATGAAAGAGCTGGATCAGATGACAAGGTACATATTTTAAAATTTTGATTCCACAAACTAGAAATATGAGACAATTGATTTCTGAAATATTTATTACAGAATAATATATATAAATGTCTTGTACAACAGAGGCCTTCCACAGCTGCTACCACTTTTGGATCAAGAATCATCCATAAAGACAAAAAAGTGGATCTGGATTCAGATTCAGATGATGCTGAAGAGGAGGCATTAGCTGACCTCAATGATCTGAAGGCCATTCGTAAAGAAGAGGATTTCAGGCCTGTGGATGGCATGCCAGGGATGTACTATAAGGTTAATGTCAAACTCACTGGCATAATACATTAAAGTAGAGACTTCGTTTGATAAGAGAAAGAAATATTTTTGTTACAGAAAAGAATGTGCATTTATGAAGATATTAATCTAATAGAGAGCAATAGGTGAATGTATTTCATGCATTATTTAATGATATATTGATAGTGAAGAGTTTGTGACATTTGAAATAATAAGATACAATATGTACACATTAACATGACAGAAATACCTGAACAATCCTGTGGAGGTGTACCACAACAAGCTGTACTCCCTGTTACCACGAACACATATCCTCCAACCACCGGTCAACCGCAAAAAACTCACTCATGTAGAGGAACTTGAGCAGCACTCGTTTGTTGTCCAGTGAGTTATCACAATATATAACAAAAACATGATTTTATACTATAGCATGAGTTAAAGAAGGTAAAATGGTACATGTATTACAAATGTGCCTTTTCTTTACAAAAAGTTATGTATTATAGAAACATTAATTATTGGTCAAAATGTAATGGAAAAAAAACATACATTTAGCTTCTTAAAGGTGATGTTAACATAAATTTTAGATTTTGTCTAATGTTCATATCATTTTTTCACCAAACAGGCCTCCTTTTGCTGAGAAAGGTCACACCTCCAGTGGGACCAACAAAAAGTTGCAGTATGTGGGGCGACAGTTTATGGCAGAGCTGGGATTGTCTGAGTGGAGAAGCAGGGAATTCTGGGGCATGTTATTGATGTTTATTATCGTCTTCTTCATCCGTATGTACAACCACTACATTGGTCAGTGGATGTTCCTCAACGCAATCAACATCCCTGTCAACAAGTGAGTGAGGAAGATTTTTTGCAGTGCTTTATTTTTCAATCTTTTAAACTTTTATCGATTATTGTAGGGGAAATTCGTAATATATACTATAAACCAACTTTTATCTGTGTGCTAAAAATATCTGCGAGTTTCACGAACTTCATTTACTTGCAAATATTTATCACCACAAACTATTTATAAAGCTATGTAGAATGTTTTTGTAAGTCGCAAAAATATATTTGTCATGGATTGACTTTATTATAACTGCCAATTGCAAAAAAAAGTTATTGCAAATGATAGTTGGGTTATAGTAATCTTATGTATCTGTATCTTTGCTATTTTTTTTTTTTATGTAAATTGAGATTAATACTTTAAATCTATTCACCTTAATGTAATGAACATACTGCAAACATGAAGTACATTACAGTGATTTTAATTTGACTGTCTTTGCAATCACAGAATTTTTCTACAAACATTAAACCATCATGAATGTTATAGCCATTTCAATGTAAGCATTCATATAGTTACATACATTGAACTTTAAAACCCTGTTTTCCTATTCTGAAATAGTAAAATAGTGAATTATTGGAAATCATAAAGAAACCCTAGGTTAATAATAACATTTCTTATGAATAATTTCTCACAACTTTGTTTTGTAAAGAAAGAAAAATTTAAAATCTCAGATGTTTGATCGTAAGAAATTCAATGACTTTGAGTGCATTTAAAATTGTGAAATTTTAAAAGTGGAATTGCAGACTTTTACAGTACTATGTTGCTCATGTTTTGATAAAACTCTTTATATACAGATTTAACTTCCTGCCCTACACAGTAGAGCTGAACTACCAGAGCACTCTGATGGCCACTCGGGAGGAGATTGGGGTGGTCTGGCTGGGCCCCCTCACCAACATCGTAGTGTTCTGTCTGCTTGTGGTCCTGTGTTGGGTCTGTCAGAAGCTGTTTGGACTATTCCCAGACATTGGGTGTAAATTTGTCGTAGCTTATGGACTGTTCACCTTCCTAGATCCTATCCTTATCCTCATTGTGGACATGAGCCTGAAGGTATGGATAAGTAAAACTGAAATGTGAATGGGATGTAGAACTTGTGTGAAGACATAATATTCATTCTGATTTTGACTCAGTCTTTCAGTTTTTGTGGAACAAGAAAATTTTAAATTAAATTTTTAACTTATGAATTCAAATTTAATAGAAATCTGCAGGAAAAAAATTCATAATATCATTGCTGCATGTTAAATCTTTTAAATACTTGAACATTAAATACTTTGTATGAAATTATTTTTAGATGATGTTTTATGAAGTGATGACTTCAGTATGGATGTACTTGATGATGTTTTATTTTCAGAGATATGAGGACACTTCAATCTACCCCCAGGCTGACGTGGTGAAGCTCTACTATCACTTCCTGCGGCTGGAGGGTTCTGGTTTGGCTGGGATCTTCATTGTGGCTTTCCTCTACACCTTTACAATGTTTATGTCAGCTTCCATCTTGTATATGTACTTTCTCAGGTAAAATTAAAGTTTATCTAAAATTCCTCATAACATACTTTAAAACACGTAAGAATATCATAATATTTGTTGAATTTTAGCAGTTTTATGTACACATTTATACACATTTAAATGACATGTAATTTTTAAATACGCAGCAACTCAACAATTCTTCAACCATGAGATCTAATTCCAACCAACCTCTATTTTTCCTGTAGCTACAAAAATTTGACCCCCACAAAAATATGTGATTTTACAGTATATAATATAACTGATAAAAGGTTATTTTTAAAATGTATATGTATATTTGAGTGCAAAAAATTGCCATTCAAATTGTAGACTACACAATAATGGCCGTCTGTTGGATGTGTACTGGCGTCTCCATGGTGATGAGGACAACTTCTTCCTGCCTTATGACCTTGAGGTTTCAAATCAGGAGCTGAATTACATTGTGAAGAAGGCAGAGAAATGGAGAGGGGAGGAAGGAGAGAGGAGGAAGACAGCGGTGTATGACTATATCTGGGAGGAGGAAGATGTAAGTGAAGCTTTTATAAAAATCCGGAAACTTCTTCTTATAGCTTGAAGTAAAATAAAATACTCAAGGTATCTTTTGAAACTGTCAAAAAAGGTATGTTTAATTTTAGTCTGCAAAGTTAATTTTTATTTTAAACAAAATCAAAATTATGCAGATTTTTTTCTTTGTTTTTAGGTGGAGGAAAGTATTTGGGATGAGAGTGGAGTGGAACACAAAGAGACAGTAAAGGGAAAGAAGGAAATCACAACTCATGTCTCCATCCACACTATCCACTTGGATGGACTTCGTGAACTCTACCGGCACTTCCTTAGGCTGCCAGATGGAGCTGTTGTTGAGGTCAGTATTATCCCAGTCATTTATTTAGGGTTTTTTAAAATCTGAATGACTCTAGAAACACATTGTGGAATTAAAAATAGATTAGGTAATTTTGAACGAGTAGGCCAAATCATCTTAAAATTTTCATTATTCTGTTATTTAAGTGAATCCATGGGACAATCTTCATATGAACAAGGAACTATTTTGTCTGCCTTGATCTGCATGATGATGCAAGTTTTGCAATAAAATGAACAGCTTCAAACAAGAATATTTTTAAAGAAAGTTACTAATTGCTTGTTTTGCATTAAATACAAATGTTCTTGCACCCACTCCTCCCTTACATCTACACAAAATTTACATTGATGGTATTGCATTAGAGGAATAATAGTTTTCTTTTTTCTCCCTTTTTGTAAAAGATTTCAAGGTAATCTGTGATTCTACCTTTAAGTTATGTATGTACATGTAGGCCTGCATATTACAGGTATTTGGAGATATCTCTATCCCTGGAATGGACAAAGATATGAAGACTGCCCTGGAGCGAGGAGCCCGAGGTGTAGAGAATCTGATGGGCTCACTGGCCAGCTTTCATGGGGTCAGTTTATATAGTTCGTCTTGTTATGAGTATTGAATTTATTATAAATTTAGACAGAAATTCTTGGTGAATCCTTTAATATAAATCTATTGATCTTCATTAGGTACGCGGGAGAAGAAGTGCCCACACTCGATCAGGATTCACTGCAGATGATTTCCCTCCCCCAGCATCGCCCTCCCCTAGCAGTAGTGATGACTCCCTCCCCAAGAAAAAGAAATAAAAGATGGCAACAAGAATGAACTGAAGGATAATGGCTTCCACTTATAAAAAGACTGAACCTATCTTTTAATTGCAAAAAGTTGATTGGTGAATTTTGAATTGTTTAAAAAGTGACAATCTTTTCTTTCAGGTAACTTGATTCTATAAAACATTACTGTTACATTTCTCAGCATTGAAAACATATTTTTGAATGACGTGTCAAGTTCAAAACATATTAATTTATAAGAAGCTCCAGTGTCAGTGTAAAGTCCCACTTTAAATACATATTTGTAATATTTTCTCAACATATTTTATGCTGGGCAGGACTTGAGCTTGTGTTTTTGTGTGTTTTTTTGTTTTTGATTATCTTGTCAAATTCTGTCCAAAAATTATATTAACAGCCTTTGGAAGTGTTCCAGAAGTCCCTGCAATACTGCTGTGCTCTTGGCTAGATGCAATACTTATTTTCATTTAATTTTGATATTTATCTTTTTCTTTTCCCTCCTGCATAATTGTAATTTGTTTTTGTATTTTTATAAAATATGTAAACTCATATATATGTATCTATCTAATTCTCCATATGACCCCACATTTATTATAAGCTACGTGTAGTAGTGTATGCTAATTCTCCATATGACCCCACATTTATTATAAGCTACGTGTAGTAGTGTATGCTAATTCTCCATATGACCCCACATTTATTATAAGCTACGTGTAGTAGTGTATGCTAATTCTCCATATGACCCCACATTTATTATAAGCTACGTGTAGTAGTGTATGCTAATTCTCCATATGACCCCACATTTATTATAAGCTACGTGTAGTAGTGTATGCTAATTCTCCATATGACCCCACATTTATTATAAGCTACGTGTAGTAGTGTATGCTAATTCTCCATATGACCCCACATTTATTATAAGCTATGTGTAGTAGTGTATGCTAATTCTCCATATGACCCCACATTTATTATAAGCTATGTGTAGTAGTGTATGCTAATTCTCCATATGACCCCACATTTATTATAAGCTACGTGTAGTAGTGTATGCTAATTCTCCATATGACCCCACATTTATTATAAGCTATGTGTAGTAGTGTATGCTAATTCTCCATATGACCCCACATTTATTATAAGCTACGTGTAGTAGTGTATGCTAATTCTCCATATGACCCCACATTTATTATAAGCTACGTGTAGTAGTGTATGCTAATTCTCCATATGACCCCACATTTATTATAAGCTACGTGTAGTAGTGTATGCTAATTCTCCATATGACCCCACATTTATTATAAGCTACGTGTAGTAGTGTATGCTAATTCTCCATATGACCCCACATTTATTATAAGCTACGTGTAGTAGTGTATGCTAATTCTCCATATGACCCCACATTTATTATAAGCTACGTGTAGTAGTGTATGCTAATTCTCCATATGACCCCACATTTATTATAAGCTACGTGTAGTAGTGTATGCTAATTCTCCATATGACCCCACATTTATTATAAGCTACGTGTAGTAGTGTATGCTAATTCTCCATATGACCCCACATTTATTATAAGCTACGTGTAGTAGTGTATGCTAATTCTCCATATGACCCCACATTTATTATAAGCTACGTGTAGTAGTGTATGCTAATTCACTTAAATATAGATATAAGAGGTACTGTAAATCTGAAAATTTATGAGTGTTGTGAACAGCATCCTCAGAATTTTTGAAACTGTGCATTTCTGAGATAAACGCAATGATGTAATCATTCAATTTGTACAAATGTGAATTATGTCAATAGATAAGAAACATACACTGTATTTAGGTTTGTGCTATTTTTTTAAAGGAATAATTTTTTTTTTTACAAAAATTAATAAATGAGTTATTATCCAAAAAAAATTACCATCTTGACAAAATAAATTTCCATAGTTACAGTATTTTTTTCTAGTTGTATCAATGCATTTAATTGAATTATTCCATTTTTTGTAATCCTTTTAAATTAATTGTAGCTGATTCAAGAACAAATCAATGAAAGTTATTGATGCAATATTCTAATCCTGTTTTAAACATAGATGAAGAACATTATATACATATTTATAATATTTCTGATCTGCTAGTCTGTGATTAAGTTTTGTTACTCCTTTACAATCTAATTACAGTTGAACTTTGGTTTGTGATTAAGTTTTGTTACTCCTTTACAATCTAATTACAGTTGAAGTTTGGTTTGTGATTAAGTTTTGTTACTCCTTTACAATCTAATTACAGTTGAACTTTGGTTTGTGATTAAGTTTTGTTACTCCTTTACAATCTAATTACAGTTGAACTTTGGTTTGTGATTAAGTTTTGTTACTCCTTTACAATCTAATTACAGTTGAACTTTGGTTTGTGATTAAGTTTTGTTACTCCTTTACAATCTAATTACAGTTGAACTTTGGTACCTCGAACACTGATATCTCAAATACCATGGATATGTCAAAGTGAATTGGAAGTCCCAACCACTTTTTTTGTATTTTAACCTGGATATCTTGAATCCTGGTATATCTCAATTTTTTCTTGTCCCATCAAGTTAAAGATAATGAGGTTTAACTGTAATTATAAACATTTAAGAAATTTAAGACAACATTCAGCATTATTGCAATTACTGTAGTAGACAGTTTTGGTTAAAGCTTTGAAAAGTATTTTAATGTAGTTATAAAGGATTACTATTTTTAATACTGTGATTAATTATGTTAAATAACAGTTTTAAGAAGGAAACAACTTTATACTATATGTAGTTTTATACAGCCACAAAATGACCTGTGATTATCTGTGATATTTTGTCCTGATTTTTGTCCTCGTTAACAAGGACAATGTTAATTTTGTTGTCATATTTTTCCTATCCTAATTAACATTGACTGCTGGCAGTCAAAGTATATAGTCTCCGTCCATTTCTTTTATAAATACATAACACCAAGTTATATGTTATTTACATTTTTCTTTGATTTATTTAATAAAATGTAGATTAGCAAATATGTTTATTTTGTTACTACAAGAAAACATCCTTGCCAGGGTAAAAAATACATGTACATGTATTTCATACACTCTCCCTTGAACTTCCAAGGTTGACATAGATTGTTGAATGTTGAAAAGTTCATTCTGTAAGAAATTCTAAGTTGGAAAAGCCATGGAATTTTGACTCTGAATCTCCCATTCAGAGAATGATTATGCCTTTTATTTTTGACAGGGACAATAGTTTCATAATGATTTGAAGTCAGTTTCATGGGATTTAGAGTAAACTGCACTTATAATTACCCTTCAAAAGTCAGGTAATGCACAGTTCCAATGTAGAATTATAAAGTTACACAAAAACAATCCATTGAAATAAAACATATGTAAGCGCTTAGGTTGTGCATTCATCATTTGATATGTGCCAGGCTGAAAGATTTTAAAAACTCTTTGAAACAGGAGGCCCTTGGGCTGCAACACTCACCTGAATAAATTGACCTTGCTGTTCTTAGAAGAAAATTATGAAGAACTATGAAATATTTTGAGCCAATATTGTTGCCATGCCCTGGCACCAAGGAAAGATCTTATGAAATATTTTGACCCCATATTGAGATGCCATACCTTGGCGCCTAGGGGGGTCATGAATTAACAAAACTTGAATCCACTTATGATGGAGATGCTTCAATATCAAAAATGCAGAAGCATATCATCTCTAGACGCATGTTTTGATCCGCTCTACTTACTCCTTTGTGGGGAATGGATATGATACACTTGGCTTTATCGAAGATTGCTCGACCAGTTATGGCCTTTGCTGTTTTTGAGAGGAAGATTTTTAATTTGTTATAACAAATTTTAGAATCGTTTAAACGAATTTAATTCGTTATAACATTTTTTTTTAATTCATTATAACAGATTCAAGAAGTCTGTTATCATAATAACATATTTACTTCGTTATAACGAGATCAAAAAAATATTATAACAAATTAAATTCGTTTTGACAAAGTCGAAAATAAATCAATCAATATATCGAGTTCAAAAATATTTTTTGATTGGTTCCTAAATGGGCTTCCATACATTTCGAATACAAATTTCAATTCAAATATGTAATTCTGTAAATGTTCTGATTTCATTATTTCTGCATGACCAGAGGGTATTTTTTTTAACCATTTCCAGAAATTTTAACGTTTTTCTCTAAAGATTCAATGGCATACTGATTTTCTTTTCAGTTCTTCTAAAAAAAAAAAATAAATATCAAAGTATCAAAGAGTATTTGAATTGCAAAAATTTTTAGTAGTTATATTGAAAATTTGATATCATAGACTACAAAAACACCCTTTTTCATGTTTTTTATAGCTCTTATGCCCATAGGTTTTAAGTTTCTGCAAAACAACAAAATTCTGTTAGATGATAATAATGGTATTCATGGTAGTTTCTCTGATATACTAATCTGCGAATGCAAAACAATGAAAATAAAAAAAACAAGAAAAAACATGCTTAGTTTTTGAAAAAACATAATTTATTTGAGATGTTTTATGTTTTGACGCGGAGTCCATGAACCTTAGATAGTGGTAAAACAATATTTCAATTTATCTTAAAAATTATTCCATTCACACATGCAATAATTCGGTCAGATTCCAAATTTTCACTTTTTTTCGACGGGGAGGCACTTTAAATTCCACGAGCAGACGTTTGTACTTATAAGCAACTGTCAAAGTTTTTATTAATGCATACAAAAACACATGTTCATTAAATTCTCTCGCTATGATTTGAGAAACTTTAGGATAACGGAAAGCATCAAGTCGTTACATAAGAATGACAGATTGAGAAATTATACAAAAAATGACATGTTCTCTTGTACATCACTGAATAGAGAAAAAACCGTGTTAAGGTATCTTTTTATATAATCTTGATATACTTTAGCTCCATACTATACCATCTTGTATAAGAATTTTAGTTCTAAGCAAACTCAGACAATGAGCTATTATTTATTCATCATGGAAAACTTATTGCCACATGTAACATAAAAAGGCACGGTATATAGTATAATACGGTAATCATAATCCTTACTTAATAGACTCAGACCTGACATAGTGGTACCCCAACAGCATCTTGTAGTCTTAGCTTTTATCATCAACTATAGAAGCATCTGCAAAGGTCTGTTCAAGAAATTTTACAGAATGGGAATGATTCCTATTAGGACAAGAGGCCCATGGGCCACATCGCTCACCTGAGCACTACAGCTAGGAAAAAGCAGAAATCAGTTCAGTCTTGAAAGGTTGAAAAGTTTAAATATAAAAGTGGTTCGGGGGGGGGGGGGGCACATGATTTGAATACACTTGAATCTACATTACCTGAGGATGCTTCCATTTAAATATAATAAATCATGGCTTTGTTGTTCTTGAGTAGAAGATTTTTAAAGATTTTTCCTATGTAATCCTATGTAAAACTTTGATCACCCATTGTGGCCCCACCCTACCCCATGGGGTCATGTTTGAACAAACTTGAATCTACATTATCTAAAAATGCTTCCATATAAATATGACCAATCATGGCTTTGCTGTTCTTGAGAAATATTTTTAAAAGATTTTTACTATGTATTGCTATGTAAAACTTTGATCGCCCATTGTGACCCCACCCTATCCCCGGGGGTCATGATTTGAACAAACATGAATCTACACTACCTGAGGATGCTTCCATGTAAATGTGACCAATCATGGCTTTGCTGTTCTTGAGAAGAAGATTTTTAAAGATTTTTCCTTTATATTCCTATGTAAAACTTTGATCGTCCATTGTGGCCCCACCGGACCCCCGGGGGTCATGATTTGAACAAACTTGAATCTACACTACGTGAGGATGCTACCATATAAATATGACCAATCATGGCTTTGCTGTTCTTAAGAAATGGTTTTTTAAAAAGATTTTAACTATGTATTCCTATGTAAAACTTTGATCGCCTATTGTGGCCCCACCCTATCCCCGGGGGTCATGATTTGAACAAATTTGAATCTACACTACCTGAGGATGCTTCCATGTGAATATGACCAATCATAGCTTTGCTGATTTTGAGAAGAAGATTTTTAAAGATTTTTCCTATATATTCCTATGTAAAACTTTGATCGCCCATTGTGGCCCCACCCAACCCCGGGGGTCATGATTTGAACAAACTTAAACCTACACTACCTGAGGATGCTTCCATATAAGTTTCATATTTTCAAGCACAGTGGTTCTTGAGAAGAAGATTTTTTAATGATGCCATTAATTTTTCACGAATTCATAATCCTCTCCCCTTGGAAGAAGGCGTGGCCCTTCATTTGAACAAACTTGAATCCTCTTTACCCAAGGATACTTTGTGGCAAGTTTGGTTGAAATTGGCCCAGTGGTTCTGGAGAAGAAGTCGAAAATGTGAAAAGTTTACAGACGGACAGACGGACAGACAGACAGACAGACGGACTACAGACAAAATGTGATCAGAAAAGCTCACTTGAGCCTTCGGCTCAGGTGAGCTAAAAACCCATTAAAAATCACCATACATGTATTCATTTTCTCCAAAATGTATGGAGGTGATCGTATCAAAACTTCATAAAGTGCATTTTTTTTTACTAGCAATTACCTAAGAATGCAATAATGCTTAATCCTTAACACCCTTAGCTTGATTTATTTAATGATAAGTCATATTTTAATGTGAAAGTATGCAAATACCAGTCTTCTTTTTCTATGTGTGAAGTTCTCTAAGAGTCTTTTTAAATTTAATGTTTTGCTTGTTGTAAACTTCTCATAATCAAATTAACCTAGCACGAAAATGTCTTTTAAATTCTGTATAAATGTCCCTCTCTCCATTTAGTGTTCATTTATAAACATTGTAATGCCGTTGTTGTAGAGTAAGATTTCCCCCATAGCCAGCTTTCACTCCGGAATTTAATTGTACTTTTAGAATAGGGTTTCCCCATAGCCAGTTTCACTCCGGAATCTATACTCTAGAGTAGGATGTCCCCATAGCCAGCTTTCCCCCCGAAATCTGTACTCTAGTGTAGGTTTTCCCCCGGGGGGATCTCACTCTAGAACCAGATTTCCCCCATTTTTCTTTCTCAGAGTAGCCTAGGATTTCCCTTCTTTTAACAATGTTTATAATTTAAATCATATCGATAATGTTTTGGCTAAAAGTTTATATGAAAATCAAATGATTTTTTTAACGTAAATGTGAGTGTTCTCGACTCAAGAATTGACGAATTTAGTATGAAACTTTAAATATATAGTTCAAATCATCGAGTCTCAACCAACGATTTTAACTGATAGGAATCTGTAAAATTAGTCACTCAAAAAATCGTAAAACTCGATGTCTCAACACCCTCTCTCGGCGCAGTGGTACCCTTTTATTCACGAATTTTAAAATGTAAATCAGGCCACCTTTACTGATTTGCTAATTTGTTTGCCCTCTAAGGGCCCAGTAATTCTATGGATCGATCCTTTTTACAGAGTATGTGAGAAGAATTCTAAAATTATGATATCGATAGGTTTCACATGCCATTTTTTCGAGATGTTCTTCAAAGGAAAAAAAAATTAAAAAAAGAAGAAGAAGCAAAAACCAAAAACAAAACAATACAAGAAACCTTGCTTTTGCAAGCCGAAGCATATGTCCCCTCGACCACAGCGGTGTAATTTTGGATTTGAAAGCAGAGAGCATATACTCTCTTAAAATTTTGCAAAATTTCAATTTTAAAAAAATAAATTATCCATTTTTAGTTCCATGGCAATGGCAGCTATTATTGAAATCTAAACACCAGAATTTTGGAGAGACACGTACACAGCAATATTATGTACATGTAATTTGAAATACAATTGGAGAAAAAAAACCACTTAAAATAAAATTTCATTTCGTTTCAATGGATAAAGTTAAAAATTTGTCCAACCGATTACATTGTACCAATATTTCTTGAGAAACCAGTTTGACTTTATCAAAAGAATAATATTTTAATGTTTCAAAAGAATTGGTTGGACGGTTACTAAGAAAATGAGATCTGAAATTTTCAGTTTTTCATACTTCGTATGTTTCAATGGAACTGGTCTCCAATTTGAAGAAGGGACACCTGAAACAAGATGTCCCCCCTTACATAAGAACAGCCAAGATATTTTACCGAGGGGAAAATTGGCTCTGGGGGAAATCGGAATCTATAACTTTTACACAGAGTAAGATTCCGCACTCCCCCACCCCCTCCCTGGAAAATTTAATCTGATGTGGGACTTCTTACTCTAGATTCATTTTTCCGTGGGGGAAATCCTACTCTAGAGCCATTTTTCCGTGGGGAAATCCTACTCTACAGCCGGGGGGGGGGGGGTTAGAGGGGAAACCCTACTATACAAGACCGTAACATCGTCAATTTCTATAATAGACTTATTTTGTTATTTGACTATCGTCCTTTATGCTACATTTTTATATCAAAATGCTATATCCGTACCTCAGCTCAATCTTCATAATTTACATCGCAGAGACCTACTGGAGTTGTGCTGTTCCGAGTTCTTCTTCCAGGACAAAATTGGTGATTTTTGTAAAAATAAAAATGAAATAAAATAAAAAGTAACAAATCAGATCCATTTATGTATAAGTTCTTACCATGAGAACAGCTTACCCATATATATTTACGCATGAAATTTCCGATTTGTTCATATGTTCTATCTATAGCAAGTTTCTATTGTTCCGAAACCATATATTGTACCATTGATATATTGAACTTTGAGAATTTTCAACTGGGTCATAAATTTGTGAGCTTGGAATAACCGAAAAATTCTTCAAAACGTCTACGGCAAATACATCCCCAACCGTGCGGAGAATTAAAATCTTGCGACGTAAATTGCACCGTATTTGCATTACTGGATCTGTAGCGTTATGGCCAAAAAACTAAAATATAAAACCAAAATGCTACAGTTCTGCAGCTAAGATTTACAGAAAAGTAATTAAAAAAATATATTATTTGTGAAAAGGACAAAAATATGCTGCATAATGAGAATTAATTAAAAAATGTTTGTAAAACTCAATAACCCAGATCGTTGATCTTTAAAATGGCCAGACATGAGATATCTTATCCAGTTTAAAAGTTACAAAAACAGGTTGAAATAACCTCATAATTTCATAAGGTCATGAAATGTAGGAATAAAAAGCAGAAAACTCTTTTGCACTTATTTACTAAACCATAGATGCCCTTTAAAACATTTTTCTGATCAATTTTAGCAGACCATTGGACTGTGGCATTACAACTCTTTCCATACACATTGCTGCTTTTGAAGTCAATACAAACTATATGATCGTTAAGGTCTATTTCTTTTCATTCATATTTTATTTATTAGTTTGAAAAAGCACGAATTCCTTTATACATATATAAGTATTAAGGACACAAACAGGATATATTTAAACAATTAAATTGCCATCAAGTGCAAACAATGTGTTTCTATGGTTTCAGTTCCAAGATGGTAACTTCAAAGTAAATAAAAAAAAATAGCTTTAAAGACTTGCAATATTGTTTAGAAAGAAGTCTAACATTTGTGGAAAAAGAATCCTAATAACTGATTTTTAGAGGCAAAAAAGGAAGAAAATAGGAGGTAAGTCTTCAAATTGTTATTAAATGATATTCAAATGTTGTAGTACCTTTCATGAAAATCATTTACAATGTTTTGATATAATTAAGTACGAATATGTAAAAGCATATAAAATAGGTTGTCTCAACACTAGCATGTCTTACTGGTAATTAAAACATTGTTTTGCGCAATTAATTTCTATTCGCATACATAAATGAAACCTATTTTTTTTTATTCTATGATTTTTTCTAGACAAAAAAGGGTAACACGGAAAAATGGGTGAATTTGAAGGAAATGAACTTGCCGAATTACATATATATACCCAAACATTTCAAGTAATTACAAAATTACAAGAAAGAGCCGAAGCTGAAAAAAGATTCCAGTCCTATATAAACAGAGTGTTGAATGAAGGAGACGATGAGATCGGGATAGTATTTTACAAAGGACAGCTGTTTTCTCACCCTCCAGGCACTGACGATGCAGGTAAATATTCCATTGAATTTTATCTGCTATCATTGAAACATTGGGATGCTCAGAGACGAAATAGTCTCTTGACGTCGAAAATCTTCAAAGAATTTACAGAAAACTTTGCAACACTGGAAAGAGAAGTGTTAAAGCAGCAAACAGTGTGTCTCAAACGAGATCCGGTCAGTTTTGACGACCATGCCGAGGATCTTGGTCAGGTCCCAGGGTGCACGAATATAGAGGGGGATAACTGCTGCGAAAAGTGCTTGAATTTTTGGTTAATTGTTCCCAGAGTTCAATGGGACTTTTTTGACCTCCTCTACCAGATGTACACTTTTGATATTTTCCATCAAGGCATGCTGGCTAAATTTGTTCACTTCTTCACAATTCCAACCAACGTCATGTTGTCCATGATGTTTCTCGCCCAATTCAATATTTATGGAGAGCTTCGCTATGGAAATGCATTTTCTGTCAATGGTGCACTCATTCTCTTTGGCGTCTTAAGCATTGCCTATATCATTATGGGATTCATTCGTAAGTGTGTCCTGTGGGGTGTTGCTACTACAGTAGTGTTAGCGGTACTTAACATGGCGGGAAACCTGTGGTACTACAGTTATCGCACTGTGAACAACCCCTGGTATAACCCGACCAATTGGTACACCAATCCACTCATATGGAGCTATGGAATATCTTTTCTACAGGCGTCATCTCATATGACAGAATCACAAATACCAGCTTTTATAACAGGTGGACAAATTTTCTTTACTAGAATACAAATTCATTGAAGCTTTAAATATTCTTATTAGGTCTTTTTCTAAGAAAAAAAAAAGTCATTATCTTAAAAATCTTTCCGTCTGGGACTAATAGAGAATACATTTAAATTGTTCTCGTTATAGGTGTAACTCATTGGGAATCTCTGCACATGTTCTTCCTCAAAAGGAGAAAAACACTAGAATCTCGCTGTAAAAATTGTGGATTTGTAGTACTGTCCTTGATCTGCTTTCCGTTTCTATCCGTCTCTGTAGCATGGTTTTCATGGCCGCATCTGATCGGCACGGAGGTGAGTTTTTTGCAAATTAATATTTTATTTGTATAAAAATTAGCTTGCTAGAAATTTAAAACAAAAATCATTTTTTGAGTTGTTCAATATACGGCTCTGAGTAAGTTTACAAATTGTAAACCTAAAGGGTCCTAGTCATCTTTGCTAGCCAAAGTTTTCAGTCCGCTACGCTCCCTTGGATTATAAGGATAAACCCTAATGTGAATCAGTTAAATGTAGTAAAATTTGCTAAGGGAGAAAATAGTATAAGTAATGTAAAATATCATCTTCTTTAATATAGATGACTATTAGATTATTTTTAAATTTACAGGTCATTTACATCATGGCTGGAATAGGTTATCGCCCTAAATTTTTTAAAGAATATTTCCGAATTGTCGAAAAGTCGGAGAGTTTCGGAAATCCAGTCATCGACCGGTTTCCCACAAGCCACAAAGATGTCATGGCCATAGCACCGGCTCACGTGGAATCAATGAAGAAGTCACATCTTCTTTCTGACCACCCGACTAATGGCGAAGTTTTCAAATCCATCGCTACATTAAAACTATCTGCAATGTACCTAAGGAAAAGAAGTAATATAAAATCACTGAGTAAAAGTGAAGAAGGACAAAAGAGCGCTTTGGATACCTTAGATATCATGATAGCAGCACGCAAGGGTTATTATGGGAAAAGTAACACTGGTAAAGTTGGACACAAGGACAGTGGGGGAAATTCATCAGTGTAATAATACGTGTACTAAAAAATCTTTTCCTTTTCGTAGATCATTGTTCGCTTTTCTGCATTTGCAAAAAAAAAAAAAAAAAAAAAAAAAAAAAAAAAAAAATTCAAATTATGCATATTATTTAATTTTTAATTATTTCAATTTAGAAAAATATATGTATTATTGTCAGCAAGTATAAGTTATCATAAATTCAACTTTTAAAAACTAAATGGAACACAAAAGATATTCATGTAGATCTTTTCTTGTAAATCTTTTTCTTTTAATTATAATACAGAACACGCAAATTCAAAGAATTCATCAATTTAGAAAAATATATGTATTATTGTCAGCAAGTATAAGTTATCATAAATTCAACTTTTAAAAACTAAATGGAACACAAAAGATATTCATGTAGATCTTTTCTTGTAAATCTTTTTCTTTTAATTATAATACAGAACACGCAAATTCAAAGAATTGTGGTCCCCCGCTTTCGGTGTCTTAGTGGTTTGGATGCAATGATTTTATGGCATATTTTAACTGTCTTGTTTGTGTGTCCTTCAAACTTATAGAACAAGGTCATTAAGTCAAAAATTGATATACCTTTCTGAGGTGTTGCCATAGGTAATGTACATATAAAAAATGAAAACCCCATCTTCTCTCATTCAGAAGTTCTTAACAATGTAAAAAAAAATATGAAAAAGACTGTAGGTTAAACAGGTCAAGGTCAAGAGGTCAAAAACCAGAGTACATTCGGAAAGGTTTTGAAACAGGTAATGCATGTTGTATATAAATGCTCTATCTTCTATCATTCAATAATTATCAGCAATGTTAAAATTTTAGAAAATTAGGTCAAACTTTAAGGTCACGGGGTAAAATATCATAAAATGTTCGGAGTAATGCACATTTCAAAAATGAATGTTTAATCTTCTCTCAGTCAAAAGTTATCAGTAATGTTAAAATTTTTGAAAATAGGCCAATCTTCAATGTCAAGGTCAAGGGTCAAAAATCATAGAGCAGTTGGAAAGGTCTTGTCACAGTTAATGTACATGTGAAATTTGAAAGCCCTATCTTTTCTCAATCAAAAGTTATGACCAAGTTAAAAGTAGTACTAAAATGTTTGAAAAGTAGGTCAAACTTCAAGATCATGGTAACGGGATAAAAATCATGGTACGGTTGGAAAGGATAATGCACATGTGAAATATGAATGCCCTATTTTCTCTCCTTCAAAAGTTAGCAGCAATGATAATTTTTTTGAAAATTAGGTCAAACCTGAAGGTAAAGGTCACAGGGCCTAATATCATAGCACATTCGGAAAATTCTTGACACAGGTAATGCACTTGATAAATATGAACGCCCTATCTACTGTCATTCAAAAGTTATAACCAATGTGATTAAAAAAAAATAATAATAAGGTCAACATTCATAGTAAAAAGACATATGTTTTACTTGGCCTGTAACTTTTAGAAAAGGCACATAACAGAATATTAAATATGTTAGCTTCATGTTCATATCCAAAAATACACATAGGTTTTTAAAAGTCAGCTAAATATTCATTTCCAAAATCAACCCCCCCCCCAGTTAAAAAAAAAGAAGGAAAAAAAAGAAAAAAAGTGCAGTCCCTGGTTTATTGATAATCTTTTGACATCATGTCTTCAGAAATAGCACTAAGCCGACTCAAAAATTGGAAACAAACCATAATACCTCAATTTTCAATATACGTCTCTAGGCATAAATTATGCTTGAAATCCACATAACTGCATATCGTAGTAAAGTTTAGACATTAAACTTATTAAACTTTCATTCTGTCCCAAGAGGTATCATCAACCTGTCAATTAAAGTAAAGCATTTCCCACATACATACGCGCTCGGTTTCAGGATGGTGTGTTTTGTTTTGTGTATTGTGATTTCCTGTTTGCCCCCCCCCCCCCAATTTATTACAGAGTAGTTCTATCATTCCATGTGTTCTATTTTTTGTTGAATAATTGGAACCTACCCACACCCTTCCCCACTCCATCCCCACAAAAATAACAAGAGACCCATGGGCCACATCGTTCACCTGAGCACATTGCAATGAAAAAATCAGTATTGAAAAGTTTAAAGGGGGGGGGGTGTTAGCAAACTTGAATTTTACACTATCTGAAGATGCTTCCATATCAATAAAACTTATGGTTTTGTTGTTCTTGAACAGAAGATTTTTAAAGATTTTTTTCCTATATATTCCTTTGTAAAAATTTGATCCCCCATTGTGGCCCCACCCTACCCCTGGGGGTCATGATTTAAACAAATTTGAATCTACACTACCTGAGGATGCTTCCATATTAATATGACTTATCGTGGATTTCTTGAACAGAAGATTTTTTAAAGATTTATTCCTGTATATTCCTATGTAAAACTTTGATCCACCATTGTGGCCCCACCCTACACCCTAGGGGGGTCATCATTTGAACAAACTTGAATGTACACTACCTGAGGATGCTTCCATATCAATTTGACTAAACATGGCTTATCTGTTCTTGAGCAGAAGATTTTTAAAGATTTTTTCCTATGTAAAACTTTGATCCCCAAGTGTGGCCCAACTCTACCCCCTGGGGTAATCATTTGAACACATTTGAATCTACTCTACCTGAGAATACTTCCATATTCATATAACTAATCATAATTTTGCTGTTCTTAAGCAGAAGATTTTTTTTAAAAGATTTTCCCCTATATATTCCTATGTAAAACTTTGATTCCCCACTGTGGCTGCAGCCTACCCCCGGGGGTAATCATTTGAACAAACTTGAATCTACCTGAGGATGCTTGCATATTAATTTGACTAATCATGGTTTTGCTGTTCTTGAGAAGAAAATTTTTATAGATATTTTCCTATACATTCCTATGCAAAACTTTGATCCCCCATTGTGGCCACATCCTGCCCCCGGGGCCATCATTTGAACAAATTTGAATCTACACTATGCAAAGAAGGTTTCCTATAAGTTTGACATTTTTTGGCCTAGTGGTTCCTGAGAAGAAGATTTTTATTATAAAAGATGCCACCAAATTTTCACTCTTTCTGAATTATGTCCCCTTGAAAGAGGGCGTGGCCCTTCATTTCAACAAACTTGAATCCCCTTTACCTGAGAATACTTTGTGGCAAGTTTGGTTGAAATTGGCCCAGTGGTTCTTGAGAAGAAGATGAAAATGTGAAAAGTTTACGACAACGACAACAACAACAACGACAGACAATGGACAAATTTCGATCAGAAAAGCTCACTTGAGCCTTTGGCTCAGGTGAGCTAAAACGTAAACATTTTACACTATGTAAGAAATCGCTTTCCATGTATATGTTGCTAATTTAAGTAGTGTGGCATAGTATATATGAATCCCCTCCCCCTTCTGATATTTTTCTATGGCCTGAGTAAGGCCACAAGAAAAACAGTCCAAAACAAATCGTTATATACTCCAGGATTAATATTATCTTAACACCTGATTCCTGCAAAAACGTCTTCATCAACACTTTGAAGTTGGAAGAGATTAAAAGTTGGAAAAGTCATGCAAGATTTTAAAGTTGGAAAAGCCAAATGTAAACCCGAAAAAGCCAAGATTAAAGTTGACATTTCCAAGATAAAGTTAGAATTATCTACTTGAAGTTGATAAGCCAAGATTAGAGGTGGAAAAATTAAGGTTAAAGTTGGAAGAGTAAAGATTAAAAGTTGGAAATGCCAAGATTTATGTTGGAAAGGCCAAGATTTAGGGGTAGAATTTTAAAGAAAAAGACAACATGGCATTAAAAGGCTTCCTTATATTACGTATAGCAAAACGTCAAGCAAAAAGTTACAAACTGGAAAAGCCAATAAGGTAATACTCTACAGATATAAAAAAAAAAGCTAGAAAACTAATACAAATTTCAGAAGTCAAGAAAACAATTGTGAATATTTACTGTAAAATACGGAAAACCTATATGATACTACAATGCAGGAAAACAAAAAGGTACTAGTAATACAATACAGATACCAAAGGTCAGGAAAGCAAAAAGGGTGCTAGTAGTTCGACATAGGTACCAAATGTCAGGAAAGCAAAAAAGTACTAGTAATACAATACAGGTACCAAAGGTCAGGAAAGCAAAAGGGTACTAGTAGTTCAATACAGGTACCAAAGGTCAGGACAGCAATAAGATACTAGTAATACAATACAGGTACCAAAAGTCAGAAAAGCAATAGAGTACTAGTAATACAATATACAGTGCTACCTCGGTATATTGCCAACTTTTGTCCAAGACAGATTTTGGCATTAAAGCGAGGGTGGCAATATAACGAATTCTGCCATTAATTACAATTCAGTTGGTTATCAAAACAAAATAAATATATTACGTAATTTATTTCAGTTACAATCTGTTTATGTCACATGTGTATAGGGACAGCACTCATTTCTTTTTGGGGAAAAAAGTCATTATCATTGTTTTTTTTCTTTGTTTTCAATATTTTGACTAAAAAGAAATAAAATACCAGAAAATTGAACACATCAATTTCCTTTCGTCATGCTCTAAGAATTTAATAACCGGATGACAAAGATGTCAGTGGCCGTTATGGCCTCTTTGTAAAAAAAAAAGGTTTTGAGAATTATCATTAATTTCATCTGAATCGAACGTAGATTATTTCACCGTCTCAAGAATTTTTTAATCAGTTAAAAAGTTCGGTTAGTAAAGCACCATGACTGGCGAATGGTAAGTCGCATGTCAGAATACGTCAACCCGTTATATTAAACATGTATTCTCATGTTTGCTAGTACCTGTGTACTTCTCTTCCGATTCTGTTTTGATATTTATCAATCAAACCAATTAATATGTGCCCGACAATTTAAGAAAATTTCATGGCTAACTGAATCCCCTAAGAACTATAGTAGTCTAAAAATAGATATGGGGTTTCCTTTTTGATCGATAGCTAAGGGGATACAAATTAATTTTTGCATTTACTATGGTTTTGTGCATTATCCATGATAAGCAATAATCGGCGATTAACAATCAAATAGATCGAATGTTGATCAAT